GGGGGGGGCAGTGGTGGGAGGGGTGCAGAAGCCGGTGTTTCCGCGGTTTATGAGAGAGAACCTGGCTGGGCTGGATGGCCCGTGGCACTGGGACAGGCTGCTTTCCTCCCAGGTGTTGGAGGTGGCTGGGGGCTTGGAGGGCCTGTGGAGATGAGGCCTCAGACACACCTCTGCTGGGTGTGCACCCTCTCCCACCCCGTACTGCTGGAAACCGCCCAAAAGGCATGAGCAGGGGCCCCGGGGACCAATTTAATAATCTTGGTGAGATTGTCCCGAGAGCGGCCTTTATTCCCGGACCCTCCTCCCTCCTCCAGTGAGGGGTCTCCCTGGTAGAAAGGAAACCCTGGCGACTGAGGTGGCCCAAGTCTTGTGTTTTACCTGGGTCCCCCGCCCTTCTGTTCCCCCCTCCCCCATGGCCTTGATGGGGTGGGGGGATCCGACCGCTCAAGGCTTCCTGGCTCAGCTGATTGGGTGGGGGAGGAGCAGGGCTCTGATACTCAGCTTCCCTGCCTGCGAACCAGACAGAGCAGGACTGGCCTTGGAGCAGGGCGGTTCCTGCACCTCCTTCCCCTCCTGTGCCCTCACCCCCAGGGCCCCTGCGGGAGGCTCTTCTGTCCCGGCAGGAGGCGGCCGCTTAGCTGGTGGGTGTGTTTGGGGTCTTAACTGGATTTGGACTGTATCCCAACCTGAGCCGTAGAGGCCATCGGCCACCTTGTTCTTGCCCTGAGAGAAGGATGGAGCCCACTTTGCGCACAGAACAAGGAGAAGAACTAAGGCTGAGGTGGGGAGGCAAGGGGGTGGGGGCCCAGGTTCTAGTGTGGCGACTCGTTCCTGAGGGCCCAGACCTGTCAGGTCCCCAGGGGCCAGCTGGGCTGAGACCCTGTCCAGAGCAGAGCTTCCCAGGAAGGCAAGCCACTTGGGGCGGCCGCTTGGGCTCAGAACCAGGCCTGTTCCAGGGGCAGACCTGGGAACCCGTGGTGGGCACAGTCAGGGGGAGGGTTTAGGGGCTGGGGCGTGGCCAGGCCCAGTCTGGAATCGCCCACACTCAGGGAACCCGGCTTCCCCCTGCAGACCTGCTGTGAGGGGCTGCGGCCACCCAGCTGCTCTTGTCCCGGGGCAGCCATTCCTGCCTCAGCCCACAGAGGTGAGGGGGTAAGGGCTGGAAGAGATCAGGAGCAGATCGTCCTACCTGCCAGGGCTTCCCTCCCAAGGCAGAGGGCAGAGTGTTTCTGAAGCGCTGATCAAAGACCTATGAGAAGTGGGGAGGGAGGGCTCTTGAGCGCAGTGGCTCCCTGGGGCTGTGTGTGTGCGCGCGCGCGCGCGCGCGCGCGCTGCGTGCTGCGTGTGTGTGTGTGTGTGTGTGTGTGTGTGTGTGTGTGTGTCCTGTAACCAGGCAACCGGAGTGCTCAGGCCCCCAGGACTTCTGCCCCTGCCTCTGCAGACGGCATGGAGCCCATCCTGGCAGGGCATCTCTGGGTCGGCAGCATTCGTGCATTCATCCATCCATCCATCCATCCATTCATTCACGGTCCCTTCATATTATCATTCACTTGTTCAGCAAAGGTCTGTTAATGAGGCGACTGGGATGTGAGGATTCTGAGAATAAAATATAGTCTCTGCCCTAAAGGAGCTCCCCAGCTGAGAGCTGAGGCCTGCTGGGGTTTAGGTGGATAGACCAGGGGCTGAGCCAGGGTCATGGGGGCAGGGACAGACATGTCTCCTAGTCTCAGGGGCCAGAAATAGCCTGCTTGTGAGTAGCTTCTTGGGATGGGGACTGCCTGAGCCCACTGCACCCTGGGATCCTGCCTGCCGAGGACCTGGTACCCACACAGCAGGGCAGAGAAGGGGAGGGGGCTTGAGCCTGTGGCCCAGAGGCCCCTTCGCCTCCTCTGCTCTGGGCCCCTCAGTCTCCCCACCATTTGCCAGTGAGAGGAGCACTGGAGATTCCCGGGGAATGGCTCTGCCAGGCTTCTGGAGTGCTTGCTGAAAGAGGAGGTACATCCCAGCCAGACTTTGGGCTGGAAGAGAGCCTAAGGTGGGAGGGAGGGGGCCATGGGAGGAAGAGTCAGCAGCCCAGGCAGGTGGCTAGGGCCACCCCTTTGTGGGGGGTTGTCTGACAAGCCAGTTTGCCCCTTAGCCCCGGAGAGTGGTTGGCTTCCTGCTCCCTGGCTCTTGCCTCTTGGATGGAGTCCGTGAAGCTACAGAGAATTGGGGTGGATTTAGGTATGGGCAGTGGTTGGGACAAGGAGGGAACCTTGCCCGGGAAGGCACCGTGCTCTGGGGTAACCCCAGTTTCTTGGGTCTGCCCCTTGACCTCTGAGAGCCTCTGGTTTCCCAGCTGGAACAGGGAACTAACCCTG